TGAGGCCATTAGCTGTAGGTTGTGGTACTGTAGGGTTTTTGGGACTGTTGGGTTACTGTAGGGTTATGGAACACGTGTGTGTTTGTTTGGCAGAATTTCTAGTGGGCACCCGTAGGTTTCTGCCATACCCGGTTGGGGGATGGCGGCCTCTCCCTCCAGACACCGTGACTGCCCGGAGAGAAGTGCCACCCGTGACCGAGATTCGAACCGGCGACGGTGCGCGTTGCGACCGACGCGTTATCCACTCGGCCACTCCGTCCCCCGGATTTTTAATCTTTATTTAATCATAAAGGAGACGAAATTATCGAAATTGTATAAACTAATTTTTTATGAATAAAAATCAAAAACTTGTTTTCTTGATTTTGTATTTCTATTATGTATTTGGTTTTAAACAATTTTCTTCTTAGTAATGAAAGAGTTGCAACTTCGCAAGCTTTCAAACTATGCTTAGAATTCTCGAAACGAGACTACTTTTAAAGGCCCCTACTGATAATACGGTTAGCAAAATATTATACCTTATTTAGCTTTTTGTTGTTATTTATTTAGTTGGTCTCTATACTACACTAACCCATAATCAATGTTATGTCTTACGAAGACTTTATACATTTAGTCATCTAGAAAAAATGTTATAAACTTATTAATAATTTATTGTAATTTACAGTTAATAATCAATAAAATATAATTTATTTGTCTATCATAATAGGAGCAGTTAATGAATTGCCAATGTCTATTAACCCAATAGTTTGTGGATTAAATCCAAATGTTTTGTTTGGATACCACAATAATTTGGTTGAACTTTTATGGGCGGATATGATTAAGTTGTATCCAAATGTTGACGCAGTTGATGATAAAAATACTGATTGGGATAAAGTTGTACAAAATACTACTGAAGACATTTTAAAATCATTGCCTGAACTTTATAATGTAAATAAGGTGAAAATGTTTTACGGAGATAAATGTTCTGCACCTAATATTATAGTTTTACTTAACGAACTCGAGAAAATGAATGCGTTATTAAGCGTAATAAGAAACACACTATCACAACTCTCAAAGGTAAAATCTAGTATATATTTGTATTTATTAATAATATGTTATAGAGAAATATTATATATTATAATTTATTTCTACATAGGTTTTTCTGGGGAAAGTGGAAATGAATTCTATGTTAGAAGAAGTTTCAACGTGTTTATACGCCGGTCGCGTCCCGGGTTGCTGGAGCAAACTATCACCACAGACAGTTAAATCATTGCCGAGTTATATGGAACACCTTACGAAACGTACACTTCAATATTCGAATTGGGTAAAATATAAACGTTCCATGTCAGGTTTAATGCTTAAATCACAATGAATAAACAGTACTAAAGCACTATTTTTAAACTAATACACATTTTTATATATGGTTTACTAGAGCCAAATCAGAGAACCTTTAGTCATGTGGCTATCAGGGTTACACTCGCCGAAGTCGTATCTTACATCTTTGATACAATTGGCATGTAGAAAATATGGTTGGTCAATTGAACACAGTATGTTTTATACATCTGTAACTCAATGGACTTGTGAAAGTGAAGTTCAACGAGAACCAGACGCCGTAAGTATACCATGTTAAGTTAACACATACAGAACAACAAGTATACCTAGGTGCATATACAATAGGTACAAGAGTAGTTTGATATGAATAATATGTTAAATAAGACCATCGCTCAATCAGTGACACTTGGTCGGGAATTAGTTGATAAGTTATATATTTCAAAAACAGATTTTTAGTACATTTACATGATTTCTTATTTATGATTGTCAAAAAGAGACTTAGTAGAAAAAAAGTTACTTGCATTACTAATTTGTATTACTTAAGAGAATTGAGATGATATGAGTTAGAAGGACAATAAAGAGGTTAATCAATGATATGAATACATCAGTGAAGCTAAACATTATTTAGTTATTAGGTAGATATAATAAAATAATAAGTAAATAGGTTAACGCTAACTTAATTTAACTTATATAGGCTGGTGAGTAGAGGAAGAGTAAATGTAAGTTCACAAACAGCCATGTCACCATCTCGGTAAATAGATGTCCAAGCAGATCAACAAATCGAAACAAACCCACGTGGAGTTTTTCCTTTCCAATGTGGTCGCTATTATACCAGTGTGTTTGGTAGTGCCGCTCTAACAGTGTAGGAAAATTAATCTTGTTCGGAATGCTGCGTACCTACCTATATATGTTCATGGTACTGGACAATGATTGAATTGAGCTACGTCGACTTCTGTTGATGTTTTCAGTTACTTCAAGTTACGAGTATTATACCGGCTCATCCTTAACCTAGAGCATAATAATTTGAAATTGTTCCTGTAAGGTTGAATTTCCCATCACCAGGCATAGTGTTTATAATAATAGTGGTCCATCTACTATCCAGTGGAGTAATAAACTCCGCCATGGCCTTCAATAGATTGTCCACATACCAGGATACTTTTTTTCGCCACATGTAGGTGGATAGTTTTCACGATACTTACCCACCCCCGTGTAACATCATTTATTGAACAAAAATATATTTTATATAATTTTTGAAAATCAAACACCTAATTAAGTTAAATTTAAAGTTAAATTGGTTGATTTGTACCAACGTCAAAATACACCACGGTCAATATCAAACCGTATATTATTTAATATGATTCATGGATAGGTAGTAGAGTAGAAGTAGTATTGTAAAGGTAAATCTAGTCCGGTAGTAGTTGAATATCTGTAGCTACCAAAATTATAATAAATATGTTTTTTTTTAAGGGATGTTACATCACCGGATTATATTTAGAAGGCGCACGTTGGGATATGGATAAACAATGCTTGACAGAATGTACATTTCATAATACACTTGAAAATTTGCCAATTTTAGCTATTAATCCTATTGAAACTCGCCTGCTAAAATTACCCAAGAGTTCAATTACCATACCAGTATACGTGACTTCGAAACGAGGAAATTTTATGAATGATAATTGTGTATTTCAAGCCAATTTAAATACATTAGTGCACAAGAGCTTTTGGATTTTACGAGGAGTTTGTGTTGTTATGAATACTGATTAATTAGCTATTAATTTATTTACTTTAATTATTTACCAATAATGTGAACTTTAAATTATTTTTATTTTTTTAATTATTTTTTTATTTGCACATAAAGCAATATGTTCATAAAATATTATAATAATCTGTGTAACTAAATTAAAATAACAATTTTTATATTTTTCTTGCTAGGTAACTTATTTATATAACACTTATACAATAATATAATAATATCTAATTAGTTCAAAAAATAATTCATAAAATATTATAGTTCTGAAACTATAGCACCATTAACGAAAAGACTGTGCACGACACCAATTTTTTTATCACAACTGTGTTCAGTACGTATTGTTACTAACATTTCACCGACAGCAAAATGTGTTTCTGTACCGTTTTCAATGAATTCAGACTAAAAAAAAAAATAGTTTTAAATTTAGTTTTTTTAATAGTTTTAAATTTTTGATTATTAATGACTTATACGTTTTAATATAAATTAAAAATATCTACTTTACCATTGCGTCTGTAACTTGAGTTCCATTTACAATAATATCCATAGTGGCTTTATCTGAAAATCACCAGTACATAACACATGAGTATGGAAAACAATATTTACTGTGTAATGTGATTGATTGTATTTAAAGTTTATCTGATAAGTAGAGCGCGGATATTTAGGTTTTTACATATTTTTATTGGCTTTATGCAGCTCTACGAGGATGAGAAATGTGGACGATTTATCCATTAAAGAGTGCGTAGGAAAAAATTTATTTTGCATATTAAAGCATATTTTGGACATTAGAGAATATTTGGCCTATTTTTCATATTTTAGAATATATTCTATTATTGTTTCTAAAACATCATGTAAATTATTAATTTCTCGATTTGTGATTTTTTCTAGCAACAATATTTTCTAGGAAAAAATAAATAATTTGATATAAGAATAATAAATATAAAAAATTATTCAGTTATCATCTTGTTTGTAATCAAATTGGTAACTTTGGTCATTCTGTTCCTCTCAGTCCGTGATTGTACCCATAGAATATCGTATTTGATAACTGATAACGTGATAGGAACTTTTTTTTACTTTTAAATTGTTTAACATCTTACGATTTATTTTAATTAGTTGTACCTAATATTAATTTTTATTTTATTAAAATGCCAAAAATGAAACATTTACATAAACAGTGGATAGAGCCGTATAATAAAACAAACGATACAGTATTTACGACAGATGGCGATATAGTTTATTGTCAAGTTTTGGAAAAGAAGATTACTTGCAACAAAAAATAGCAACAAAAAATATTTTGTTTTTTTTATATATATATATATCATTATATATTTATATACCTATGTATGAATTGTTTTAAATTTTTTTATTTAAATAATTTACCTGTTACCCAAAGGAATAATAGTGTATACTGTATAACTATAAAGTTATATATTGATTTTATTGAATTATTTTGAAAAAAAAATCATATTATTAGCATTTTTAAAAGTGTAAAGCATATTTAGAGAATATTTTAGGGTTTTTTTAGAGCATATTAGCATCATATTTTAAGCTTTTAAGAACCTAAAAATCCGCGCTCTACTGATAAGTAAAATGTTATGATGTTTAACACCAAAATAAAGAAGATATTGTAACTAAATACTATATACAACCAAATAATTATTTTATTTTTTACTTTTTGAATTAAATACAATATATTTTGTAGATTGTGAATGTTATTGATTTTGCAACAGTATATACTGTGCGGTAGAAATCACTATAACTATTAGAACGAGATACTGCTTGCAACAAGCAAAATGCTAGGTTCCGGTAAGAGCCCACATGATTGTATGCTAAAATATATGCTTACAACGGCCAACGAGTGTGGTTATAAATTATAATTATAACGACCTAACGGCTATAACGAATAAAATACATCGAGTTATAGAACATATGTTCGGTTATAACATGCCGGTCGTTATCTTTTTCTTATTATATATTTATATTTTATATACCCACATATTTTGGTCAACATACTCGTTATATTTTGTTGATATATACATGTTGTATTTAAATTTTTAGGCACGATGACTAACCTGAGTTTTTTGCAAAACCTATGTTGTGCCTAAAAATTAAAGAAAACATTTATTTATCAAGATATTATATCTACATTTATAAATTTATTTATATATATTTCTATTTATCTTTCCTTATAATATTTACTAACATTGTTTAACACTTTTTTTTTTACATCTTTAACTGTAAAAGTGCCTTCACTGAAAGGTATCTTTAATCCGTCCTTCACGTCATAGTTATCTAATTCATCAATTTCACTTATTGTTCAAAATTTATGTAACAGATTGTGGAAATATAAATTAAGTAATAAAAAAAAAACATTTATATATCAACAAAATATAATGAGCATCATTTAGGTTTTGCAAAAAACTCAGGTCAGTCATGTATCATTTTTTCATGTATTTGTTTTTGTTTTTGGGAGATTAAAAAATTAATATTAATATTACCAAGAATAATTCGGTGTTCAACACCATTGTCCGCAATAATTAACCAAGTAGACCGATTTTTTGAGATGTATTCACAAAAATCTTCCAAGCTCTTTCCGTCAACCAATAAATCGTATGTGTACATAAACAACCCATCTGGTTCTACTTTGATAGTGCATTGTATCTTGTCTATATCGAAAACTTCATCTCCGACTAATCGAAACATCCAATCTTTTCGTCTGACTATCTATTGTTATCAAAAATGTACATCGTATTATATATATGTATAACATTTTTAGCTGTTATTTATTATTATTATTATAGGTAATTATTATCTTTTGTATGGTGTACAACTGTGCCACCCGGTGTGGCCCATACCAAAGATTTGTTTTTTTTTTTTATAAATACATTAATGCAAACATGTGTGTGCCCTATTTCTAGAGATTATAATAATAATGTAATATGCAACCAATGGCAACCAAAAAAAATGTATCTTTATTATTATTATAGAGAGGTAAAATCATTTGTTTGTATATTGAGGGTAATCTCTAGAACTACTGAACCGATTTCAAAAAGTCTTACACAAATAATATTTTGTTAAAATAAGTTTACAGTATTAAACACAATATTAGTAAATCAAGTCGGGAAAAAATCGATACTTGTACTATACTTTGCTTTATCGGCGCGCGCTGACTACAAACACATCACTGATCAGTCAAATAGATTTGAAAAAAAAAACTGCACGATACATCTAAAGCTTATATATTGCAGCCATAATAACGGCTGCATAGATATATCTGAATGGCTGTCTATTCGTGACTTATTGACTCATGGATCCCTCAACTACTGAACCGATATTGTTGATATTTAAACTTGGTAAACATTATACAAAAGAGTGTGTAGGATAAGCCACTTTTCACAATTCATAAGCTGAGCATTTTTAGAGTTTTTGGTTTCAGAATAGATAACTTCTGGGACCTTGTTATACATTTTCACACCTTAGCTATGAAAATTGAATATTTTATACATTTTTAACTATAAAATAGACAAACTAATTTAACGTTTTCCAGATTTCAATAAATTATTTCAAAATTTGTACTTTGAATACTTATAAAAAAAAAATTGTGCTTATATTATTTCTCAATTTCTATTATTACTACTTACGAATAACCTTGTATTACATATTCAAGCTTTTTGACCCAACGAATTAAATTTTATTGACATTTATAGAATAAAAAAACTAAAACAATTGAAAATTGAACATATTTATAAACAACTTAAAATGTGTCGAAATATTTTGAAAATATTATCATGTATAGAAAATGATAAAATAAACATTTGATAAAAATTTGAAGTATCTATGATTTATAGTTTTTGATTAACAACAAAATAATAAAATCGTTGTATGAGAATTTGTTAATTTATGGGTGAATGTACATTCACAATAGAAACAATGTCCAACTCCAAATGCTAGTACAAAATTAATTTGACTTTCTAGTAATTTTTTTTAATTAAATGAAGGTAAACTTGAGGGGAGTATGTGTTGAATTTGTAAAGCTTGGATATAAATAGACATTTTTGATGAATTTCTAATTCGAAATAATTTTTCTTTTTTTCTGTGATTTCGATGGATTTTGAAAATTTAAACTAGATTTCTGATAATTATTTCACACTGTAATTAAAAATATATCAATAACATGTATCTATACACCATTTTTTATAGATGTTCAAAATTGGATGAAAATACATATTTCAACGAAGAACAATAATTTTAGTTATTTTATTGTAATTTAAAAATATTATTCGTGGGTGCTTGAAACTTTTTAACTTTACCTATTATTATATTTTATACACACGTCAACATGGCGTCACGCAATGACATTTATAAATGCAATGTTTCAGCAAACATTAATTCTACCTATATAACCGTATTACTAATAAAAAAAATTAATCACTTTAATAGTAATAATATCATACAATTTACTTTGTAATATATCTAAGCTTAGGCTGACAGACTGTCTTCAGCCAGATCGTTTACAATGTGTATACAATGGTTTTTTATCATTGAGTTCAAATTTAACACATTCATTACACCATATGATACAGTGACTTACGCGACACCTAATGTACAGCTAAGTAGTACCCACTTTACCAACCTTTCTATACTTGTTAAAATCCAGCTTTGAGAATATATTGATATTGATTATAGATATAGAAGTATGGATTTCATACTTGAACACGTTTATAAACAATTCAAACTTATTTTAATACAGTAAATGTAATAATTTATTGAATCTAATAGATATTTACCGGGAGGTAAATATTTACTATTACAATTTTACAAGGGTAAAATATTTTTAACAAAACTTTACTATATAGGGGTGATTACTAATTAATAACCAATAGAAACATTTTACCTCTTTGAGGGTGGGTAAAATATCACTGAGGTATTTTTTTAGTGTGCGAGACACATAATCAATGAACTCTTTGAAATTCCTACACAATTTTTAAAACCCAGACGATACCTATAATTGGTTACCTTTTACCTACAGGACACCAAGTAGTATTTACTACAGTCTCCATTATAATTTAGGCGCCTCTACAAAAGTTACGTCAACTCCAGAACTACACACGTAACAAATTATGTTTTATTTGATCGACTGTATCAAAATAGGTACAAATAAGTGTATTATTATCTCTAATCGTATTGTCGGTGAGATTTTGTTTATAAAATTCTGGTCGTGAGCCGTAGCAAAACATTATAATTATATTAAAATTGCCTTACTTTTCCATCTAATCTAACGACTCTTTTACCAGTTGCTGTCCCGTGTTCAAATTCTATTTCATGAATACCGTCTGCTAGTGGTAGTTTCCACACTGCCACCGTGTCTTCGTTGTACTTTGTTTTCTCTGTCATTAGTCAACAATCAAACGAACTCTCAATTTTTAAGTGTTCAGCATTCAGTTAACATACGAACATAAATGAAATGGTAAAAGTACAATAGTCGACGTTCTATGAGTATTATAATCGCATGCGTTGATCAATTACACTATTTTATACTTCTGACAGTGTTTATGAAATGTTGTTATGGAAACAACCAATTTTCTTTTTGTTGGGTCAATGTAAATAATATAATAGCACGGTATATTTATAGGAATTAAAATGTTTTTTTTTCCATAACATCAAAACCTCCGCCGTACTGCAAAATTGTCTGCATTAAAAACACTATAATATTATGTACCTATTCATTAATACATAATACTATTTAAAATATAGTCACATAATATGGTACTCAATTACAAGGGTGGCCAACATGAATATGTTCGCTAGCCTCATGGATAAGTACAATGATATCAAGAGTCAAAATCTTTATAATAGGTACATTTTATAATTTTTATAATTTGATCTATGTAATAGCGATACCTAACTGCCAATAAACATATAAAATTAAGTATTAAAATTAACCTAGAAATGGATGCGAAAAATAAAATTCATAATAATAATAAGTAAATTTTGGTTTCTGTTAATAAAAAGCGAGCCACAAGTTAGCCACCCCTGCTATATTACATACCATATACGTCCTATACTCCTATATCATAGTAATTTTTCATATAAAATATTTTTAATTATACGATTCAGAGTAGATAGCTGTAAAAATATAGGTACGTACCAAGTTTTTAATAACTGTGTAGAATTTAAACCATGCAGTAAATTTTAAATAATTTATCTAGAAACTTAATAATTAAAATGTGGAATACTTATGTATATTTATTAATGGATAACTAATAATATAAAATAATTTATAAAATGTTAAGAAAGTCAACACACCTGATATTGCTGAGTTTTCAAACAGAATAGAAGGCTCTTTCTATAAGTGTGTCCAGTAAAATAGATTGATTTATCTTTTTTTTTAAAGTTCATAAATTAGTAAAATCTATAAATGTGTAGATTTATGGAATGTTAAATGTTTATTAGCATAATCCACGAGGAATATTTTGGATAACAGTATTCATCAGAGTGGCTGAGTCATCCAGATGAGTAAATGACAGCACTTCATTCGTTATTTACAAAGTAAACTTTATTTTATAATTTAATAAGTGTACCTATCCAACTTTCAATGATTTGTATAATCTTTAAAATCTTTGGATATGAAACTGTATAGGTAAAGTATACCTATTATTTAAGTGTAACACGAGGCCTAATTTTGTCGAGATTTTCTGATCTCTACCGCGATTTAGACTTTCAAATACAACAATTTTTTTAAATATATAATAATATAAAATTTATAATATTATATCACATACCCGTGTTAATTGTATAAAATACTAAAACTTCATTTTAATATAATAGCTGTAATAAAACAATTTAGGATAAAAATGATTCAAGAATATATTATTTAATTTACAATTGTTAGATGACTGATGAGATATTTGGTGACTTTTGAATACATTTTAATAAGTATTCTAAAACCGTGTGCCGTAATATCTCGATCGTATAATATTTTAATAATAACTGTGCAGCACCTGGACCTGGTGTATCAAGTATCTAACTTTTGCCGAAGGTAAATAAAAAGGATTTTTTACAATATTATAGTATTATGGTTATAGTATAGTTAATATGCAGTTTTAATAAAAAGTCTGTTTCAACAGCAAAAATGTCTCTGCTTTTATGAGTAGGTAATAGGTATTCATAAATGTATAAGTATTAAAATATGTTTTTTTACTAAAACAATTTATATTAAAGCCAGTATAAAAATGTGTTTCATGCAAACTTATAAGCATTCACATTATTGACTGACCCATATGACATAATATACATAATATATGATTCACTTTTTTTTGTTTAATATATAAAATAGTTACATAAATAGAAAAACAGTAAGTAATATTTTTAAAAATGAAAGTATTTCAAAGTAGATCTAATGGATCTAGTTTTGAAGACAATCTAGGATCGTTCAGTGGATCAAGTTCAGCAAAGATGTCTGCCCAATTTGATGAACTGTCCGATTTCTGTAAGGATATACAAATAATATTATAATAAAATGTTTGTAAAAAAGTTAAGTGAATGGGTGTGATTGCATTTTATATCATGGTGTTATATAATCTATAAGTACTTTTTCATTATACAAAAAAACAATACTGAGCTGAAATTACTTCACCCAAAATTGGCCGATATTCTTAAAAACCGGATAATTATTGTTTAAAACGTATTTTAGCTCTTCAATAAGAATTTTCAAAAAAAATCGGTTATATATTTTTGACATCATTTTTTTTAAAAACATGTAATGATCTAATCAATCAAAACAGTCGTAATTTAATTTTCTCAATAGCTTTAATGGTTTGAAACTTTAAAAATAACTAATTTATAAAATGATCCATTTTTATCTTTTTGCAGACGCATAGTGACATTTATTATACTACAACAATAGAATCAACATAGCATATTATATTATACTTTGTGAATAAACAAACATCGGAAGGAGCTTCCCCAAAACGAATTGCACATACATTCACGGTCCGTGAACCACATAAAAAGTAATCGGGGTGCGGTCGAGTGGCCAATTTATTTTGGATAATGCTAGTCCTCTCACAAAAAAAAATTAACCAAATGTTCGGCTATTACCATGTTTGGTTAATGGTGATACTTATTTGAGTCTAAGCACTTATGATGTATAAACAATTCACACTATACAACTTTATACTTAACGTAGGTACCTAGTTTAAGGGACTGAACTATAATATTGAGTTAACTTTTGTTAAATGAAAATTATCAACTCACTTTAGTAGTAGTATTAGCAGGTGCAGTTGACCCGGATAGCAAATCCGACAATAATTGGGAAGGTAAAAATTCATCTCCTGTCCCGTATCGTTTAAGTTCCGAATCCTTTTCTTCTTGATTACTTTCGTAAGGTTTTGATAAGAAATTTCCAAAAGTATCGCTGCCGTCGAGCAATGAAAGCAAAGAAGATTCGTTTGTTTCTTCGATCTGGTCACAAGTCGCTTCAATGCCCAATTCTGTATACGAGCTATTCGAACATTTAAAATAACAGTTTAGCGTTATTGGTTACATATAATATCAGGTTTAGACATGATTCACAAAACAACAATATTACGATTAAATTGTACGAAAAAAATGTATACCTTGAATCATTGCTGTTGTCGTCTGCCTTGGACGTGGATTGTACCGAGTTCGTTCGTAACTCTTTAATCATTTTGAAATCGTAATGTTGGTACTCTATGGTTAAAAAAAATTATGCTGTAAATTATGTCTATTACGAAGTATAGTGTAGCCGTATAGGTAGGCATTATATTAAGAAAGCACAGTAAATGTAATTTGATATTATTCATGTTGAAAATAAGAATAAAAAGGGGGTTGAAATAGTAGAAATAGTAGGTAGACATGTTTCGCAAATCTTTCACTTTCCGTACATTATTAAGTATTGAGGTGCGAATTTAATAATAGTTTTATGATAGTATAACAAAATTTTAATTAATTTTATACTGAAGGACTAACACTTATCACTTCATAATATTGTTTACCTATAGGCCTTGGAGATTACAACAGGGCATAGGGTTATTTATGTTTGATTTCATAGATAAGAAGAAATATAAATGTAATTGAATACTATGTACCCCGACATTTATTGTAATAATGGTAAATACGAATAAATGTAAACATACAAATAAAATGTTCTGCAAGATACAATCCCTCGCGTACTTACGTTTGAAATCTTTAGTTGCGTGTTCAAACGACGCTGCGACGGATTCGGCAAATCTCTGCAAACTTTGTTGATAGAAAATAAGGACGTGTGAAAACATATTGCAACGCGCAGCGGCGAGCAGATCGACTTTTTGCAAGCAAATCAATTTGTGGTGATCGAACTGTTGTTTGGACTTTTTTACTTTGGTCTGCACGTTTTTGAATTTGTCTAACTGTGAATTGGTGTCCGGATCCAGTTCTTGAGAAACGTCTTTCATCCAATTCAGGGCAGCCCTGTAGTCTGTACGGGCATTTTCCATACGTTTTACATCGCCCTGCGTATCCTCCACAGCTCTTAAACAAAACGTTTCTATTTCCTAATAACACATTAATATCAAATCATAAATAATAATAAATTATAATATTTGATGCGCTTGTAATATTTAATCATCGATGCAGAAAGGATGGCAACGACTATAACAGCTCACTGCTCTGTAAATTGTTAATCTGCCATCCGCATAATATATATTATACACAATACACCCCACTTTTAATAGCAGAACACGTGACTTAATGGTAAATTGGTATTTCAAACTTAGAAATTTAGAATAAAATATAAACTTGTTTTACACATTTAACCATAATATAGTTAAATACAGCTTTTAATTTTCTTTCATATGGTTAATTAACATATAAATAATATAGGGTCATAGATTCATGACTGTTAAAAATATCAGACTAATATAAAATTCAAAAATGTTGATTACTGTTTAGTTATCTTGTTATTTATTTCATAAATACCATAATGCTATTATAGTGGGTGTAGATAAATAAAATAATTGTTTTAATTTTCAACTTTTAAAATAATATGAAATAAGAAAAAATGTATAATTCACGTGGCATTTTAATTTTTTGGTAAATTAAAATTTATAAAATATTCTTTCCTTGTTTGATACTAATTTTAGACGGTGATAAATAATAATCAACAGTTGACGACAGTTACTGTTCATTATGAAATCATATTTTTTATTTACGTTGAGTTTTAATTGTGGGATGTTTTTTCTTGTGGTACTTATTTTATAGTTTTTAAGATAATTACTAATTAGTATACCTGGTGTAACCTGGCTAATGGTGTACGTAAACCAATTCTCTCTTGTCCTGACTGTGCCATACAACTTCCCAAAATTTGCATCATTTCACCAGCTTTAGTTTGATCTTTATTTCCAGATCTTTTTAAAAACAAGCCCATTTGATTTTCTTCATATGCTAAGTCTTTAAAAATAAATAATTTCATTTCATTCACAAGTATAAGAAACTTACTTCACATTACTTCATTATTTTATAGATTCCAGTAAAAATAGTGAATAATTGTGTGTGTCTTTTATTATTATTATAGTTACCTATGGTAAAAATGTAAAATATATTGTTACCTATCAAGATACAAATGTAAAATATTGTACACGTTATATAGGCAATTTTTCAACTGTTCGATAGCTACAGTATTGGACATCTTTTGTGAACTTAAGCACTTTAAATAATTAATAAACAATCGGTGGGCATATCATAAAATAATACTCACTATAAACTTTTTCGTCGTACTTATTGACAATTCTTTGCAAATGTTGACAACTACCACGAATAGACTTAAATAGTTCCAATTTAGCATCGAGTTCAGCATCCGAAGCTACTATGAATTCGTCGTCCTTTTTCCCCAATTTTTTACATACTTGCTGTTTAGTTACCCAGTACTTGTGTTGCATTTTAGCTACAGTTGAGCCATTAGCATTATTTTGCCAACGGTTCAATCCTGGAGCATCATACGTATTCCTGAACAAAACAATTGCACATGTCGTATTAGAAATAGTTATTTAAATTCTCACGTTAAAATTTTAATAACAGAATTATAATTGTATATATAAAATAAAATATATTAAAAATATTAATACATATAATTATAAATATTATTATAAAATTTATTTTCTTTAAAATGGAACTAGAAATGTATTGCCAACAAATATAATATGATAATACAGATAGTTTGGTATTGCCCTAGCTCATCAATGTTATGGATTAAGTTGACTAAGAAGAAACCATTTGGAATTTTTAATATAACATTTAAGCATTATGGTTTCAATATAATGTGTTTTTTAACATGATAAATATGTTTTTGGGCGGGATACGCGATTGAAAGTTTCTGACCGATTTTTCGTAAGGTTTTCGTTGCTATGGTACTTATTAACAAAAACATATTTTTGATTTATAGATTTTCTTGGTAGAGGAAAAATATCGAGTAGCGTAGTTTTTACAAATATATTGCTGGAGAAATTAGGTGATGTGAATTTGAAAACTGAATATTCACCCAAAATTTGTGGCAAAATCGATTTCGTTTTAACCATAGATAGGTAGTTGAAACTGTGATTTTTCACCAAAGGTTTATACTAATAGTTTCTATGCAAGGAAAATTATTTTTTAGTTGATTATTTATGCTTATTTTCAATACTCATAAATAAGGGTCTATACTAGTTTTGTTTATAAGAATTATAAAAAAAAGTTCAACGTAATTGCACAAATATTTTGTATGAGTGTCTGAAGTTTAAATTGCAATGAACAAAAAAATAATTATTTTAATTATTTTGTTGTAATTAAAAATATTCAAGAGGAATTGAAATTTGTATGTTAATTATATTACTCAATGAAATTTTCATAATTTTTTGAAGGCTCCTTAAGTAATGTATTATTTTAATAATAAAATAAATCACTATGATAGAAATATAAAATAGACATAGTAAAATATATTAAGTTGTATAGACTAGATTCGTTATCACTTATCGTATACAATGATTTATCATTATTGAATTAAAATGTAACACATCCATTACACTATCAATGACCTACTCAATGATGAGGTAGACCTAACACCTTACAAGTGTACAAGAGAGCGATTTTTCCGATTTTAATTTTACATATTTTAAGTATAATTCATATTTCAATAATATTATTATTATTTATTGAATATTTTAACTAAATAGAGGATAAATGCTTATTGTATGGTAGGTATATTTAAATTAAAGTAGTGTAAAGGAGATGCCACGTCATATCGTACTCCTAAATCCTAATTTAAATTTCACAAAATTAGTGAATTTTCCTTTAATGTTAAATATGTAAAATAGTTATAAAAATACCAAGGATTTATCTAAAAGAAAGTATTATCCACATTTATGTAGCTTGCATAAAAATTAACTTTATTCAATCTATATTTTAAAACGATAAGATGCTTTTTGTACTTAATGAGAGTTTATAAATTATTAGTAACTTAATAGAACATTATATTTGTATTGCATATTTTTGTATTTTCTATTACATATAAATTATACTCTTAAATGCTTAGTTTTATAAATTTCAGATTTTAACTGGGAATGGGAAACTTCATTATTTTCGATTTTGAATCTAAAATGTTCAATAGGCCAAAAAAATGCAGACGAAGGTGTGTTTTTAAAGTTGTAAATTAAAAAAAATGGATAATAATAATGAATAACATTTAAAGCACATTGAATACGATAGCTACAGAGCTCATAAGGTGTGTTTCTAACTGTAATGTACTTTGAGCCACTCGGGTTTTAAAGTAACAACATATGTCTCCATCAAAAGACGATTCAAAATCACTGTCACTCAACACAATGATTACAGATCTACCATCTATGATAAGTCGATAAAAAGATTGAAGATACACAAACAATAAAAAGTATGTAATTGTAATATAATTACTCACCATCCAGATTCCGAGAGACTCATGAAGATCGAGCGTTCCAAGAAGCAACAATATTTGAGAGGGAGTGTTCACACTAGACGTAGAAAAAACTATTAACGCAACTTATAGTGGTTTATTGACACACACAATATGCGTATAATGATAGTGTGCGTGGATACGAGCTCTGCGAACTATAGATTAAAAAAAGGATTCACTGTAGTGGCCACGACGACGGTTCGCGACGCGATACAGAAAACGTGTGACAATAGTAATAAAAACAATAACAATATGATTATTACTATTATTACTATATTCGTTAGCAGCGAAATATACGCATATTTGTTTTAATCGTAGAATTTCATACCTGGCGAACGGCGGAACGGACGATTATGTTCTCGTTTGTTTTTACGTTTAATGGAATACTGAATACGTACGTTTTTACAGTTATTTCCTCAGTCCGAAGAGACCTCTGTGGACATTGAGAGATGAAAAAAAAAAATCGAATAGAATTTCGGGAGCGTGAACCGCTTGCTTACGACCTAACAGCGACAATGATATCGTCGTCATACGCCGCCACTTGTGTAAACGGTTGTCGGTTAGGATGGCGTACGGAGGAAATCAATACTATACCGGGCTAACGCATTCGCGGGGTGCCCCTATGTGTACTACCTATCGCAGCTGTTACTATAATGATATTATAATCTACTTGATAATGTTTGTGCGCGCGCAAAGTTTTGAAATTTTTTTTAACCGTAGACGGGCTTTTATTGTTTTTAATCAAAAATAATTTGCATACAATGGAATTGAGGTGTACGCCCCCGCGGACCTTAAAATAAGGCATACACCATAGTAGAATATAATAATTCAATACATATAGCCTATATGATATAGGTATGTGTGCTGTAAATATTTCGTATTAAGTTTATTTTTGTTAAAGTCGATTTATAGTCTTAATAAGCACACACAGAGTGATTTACCAACAATTCACCCCCTTTTTTCTTCAATGATGCAGTTATTCGAAGTCTGATTTTTTTAATTTTTAAATATACTTTAAGACCATGTTTTCAAATTCTTAAAATGTTTTGCTCTACTTAAGAGGTGTTCTGTGGAGATACAAATATCTGCTTTACAAATGAAAACAACCCTATTCAACTATAAATTATACAGTAGATAATTTTTTCGAAATTTTTTACACATCAAAGTCGAAATTCGTACCAGCTGTTTTGGAGCTATCTAACTTTGTGTTCTAAGAATAAAAGGCCAGTAGTGATGAGCCTACAAGATAGCTAAGATAGGGGGCCATGATGATTTGAAAATAGTAGTCATTTTTATTAATCTATCGATGATAATAATTTGTAAACATTTCCCAAGAATAATTAACATTAGATCCAATTTTACATCTATTTTTTTTATTTATGTAAAACTAGTTTTAAGGACTATTATCCTTAATACAAACATTTTAATAACTAAGAAACTACTCATTCGAATTTTGAATGTGGCACATCAAAATTTTCAAAAAGACTATCTATACTAATTAATTTACAGTAAAAGAGAGGGTTCTCATTTGAAAAACAGAAATTTGTACCACCACAGGACACTTTAAGCAGCAAAAAAAAATCAAGAATTTGAAAGTATGGTCTTTGAGTATTTTTAAAAATTCCAAAAATCATAATTTAAATAAATTCATTATTAAAGGAATAATGGGGTTGAACATGCTTGTTGAATCATCCTATATATTATATTATTATACTTTAAGAGTACCTATGTAATTGATTGTCAATACCTAAATTTCAGAGTTGGTCATAGAATATGAATATCACGTTATGGACTCACAATTTAGTGAGTTGCGGATTATATGAATTTATAATAATATTATGATTTATGAGGCCATGAATTCACATATGTTGCGGACTTATCATTTATGAACTTACAAAGCATTGTCATAATCTACCAGACAAAAATCGTTAGACAAAATAAAAATGTAATACCAACCGGATGCTATTGGGAAATATATAATTTTAATACAATAAAATACAAATCAGAGGAAGTACATATGAATGATAAATTATGTTATCGTGTCTGTGATTACGGAGCCGCGAGAGCACAGCATGGCACACGCTTATAATATATGTTAAGAGCGCATAAACCAAAACAACAAGTTACGAGTACCACACTATTCACACAATTCGAACACTGCAGACTGCAGTAGGATAGTTACGTTGATTGGCACGCAGCAACACTAAACAGATTTTGGTACAGGTACACGTATAGTCAAAGGCCGTAGGTATATATAGGTAGTATCATATATCTAATAATATAAAATAATATATTTTACAAAAAAGTTCTTCATCTGCAATTCATATTTAATATATATTCTTAAAATCTTGCGATGTATATCCTTCAATAATACATTTATTCAACTTCTGACTTTTGGACTTTCATACTTCATAGCCTATTCATATCTTTCCCTTTTAACCTATATTATAATGGAGACTTGCTTAGCATAATTACCCAATCATTTATCCTTAGTACACAAACTATCTTAATACAAACTATTATTAACCTATTCTGTGTATAACATTTTAAAATCCAATAAATAAATCGTATGCGCATTTAAACCAGGTGTTCTCTGATCTTACTGAACAAAAACACACCCACAAAATATTTATTAAGTTTTCAGAAAATTTGCATTTATATGTCTGTGCTAATTTAATGGTTTCCAACTCTTGTGACACTTCAACCCTGTGTAATTAATTATATCTGCTCGAATAAATTCCATTCTCATTTCGTAATAACCGAATATTTGTCTTGGGAAATGGACATACCTCTTTTCTTCTTCTTAACAATTTATTAAACGCATCATCATCCGAGTATAATTTTATCATTATCATTCATTTATTGCATTCCACCGACGATTAATGTTCGTGTCATTAACACGATTCGTATGCAAATACCTTTAGCAAAGTCAAAAGGTGTGAAAAAATTAGTAAAAATTAGTGAAAAAATTAGTAAAAAGGTGTGAAAAAATTGGGAAAAAGGGGTGAAAAAATTAGTAAAAAGGTGTGAAAAAATCAGTAATAATTAGTGTTTCCATATTCAATATCGATACATATTACTACATATCTGTTACAACTACTAATACTGTCATTTCCAGGTTTTATTATAATATTAAAATTAGTCCGTGTCACGACTCACGATGAAAAAATGAAAAATATCTTTAAACGCGGTTCGAGTTCTTGTCTTATTGATAATCTAACAACCCATACAGGCCAACCGCTAATTATCGTGTATTAGTAATAACTACTAATAAGTATTCAGTATTCAGTAATCACTGTATGAGTATAAAAATAAATACGCTACTCAGTATTGTACTATTGACTATTGTACTCGCCTATACTTCGACTTCGACTAAAATATAAAGACGCGGTTAGGTTAAACTAACGCGACCATTTTCAAGTTTGTACAATCTGGTATCAGTCTACATTTTCCGTATAGTACTGTTAGCTTTTTGAACACATAAAATAATAATAGTTTTTTGGTGTAATAACATGAACAATTTTGGGTACGAATATTTTAATTTTTCCTATATGAAAACAAAAAAACTTTTTTTAACTTAACTTGAGTTAAAAAGTTAATATTACATTTTGGTTAACTCTTAACTTAGTTTAATTGATAGAACATTTTGAATTAACTTTTAACTATTAACTTGATTTAGATTTTAATTTAACTTAACTTCACTGAGTTAAAAAATATCATTAACTTGCCCAGCCTTGTAATAAATATAGTCCTCTGGTTCGTGGCTAATTGGGAGACACCACTTATGAGAGGTAGTGAGGTACAATTGTTTTTAAACTTATAATACTCCTATTGTAATATTAAGTAATAATAACATAGCTGTTTAACAAGAATAGAACTCATTAAGTGCTTAAAATGTAAAATATCATGATGATTTTCATGTTGTAAATATTTTCGTTTTTAAAGGCTTAAAACTCAGAGATTCAACACTACCTCTCCCAAACATTAGGTTTCTTAATCATTTAAATACTGAACACTACAGGACCGTATTAGCACAAGGATCTAGGGCCTACGGTAGTGTTAATCCGGGCCTGAACGGTTGTACCTAATAATATGTATTTGTAATATGTGTGTTATACTGCTGACCCCACTTGTTGTATTAAATATTAATATAGAAATGTAAGTGGTCTCGCGTTTCTATGGCTTACAAAATAACAACTTTACCTACTAATTTGATTTTAATTTCGTTTCTACCTCAAGATTGGTAGGTATTTGGTTGTATACGTATTACGTATATTATGTTTATTTGTTGTATACCTATACGATGAGGTTTACGATATTATTCCTCCAAATTATGTATTTAGTATTTCGAGTAGTTGGTGAATCTATTGGATACCACTGTACGGGTTCAAATAGTGGTAATATACATTTTAAATGCATAAAAACACCGTGCAACGGAACTTGCGGAACGATAATCGACTACGTAGATAAACCAGGACCGGACATAGTTATCGATACCAACAATAAGGTGCTGTTGAATCTCGAAATCGAAAACATTTCTACTATCCACGTAAGTTGTACCTTTTGACTCTAGCTATTAGTAGGCAGTGCGTTATATCCTTAATCCTTATACATATTAATATATTGTTATAATACACTTAATATTTTACATTCATAACGTATTAAACACTAATCAAAGGAAGCAATCTAAATAGAATAGATTTTATGTCCACCTTGTAAAAGTATTTATTAAATAGTCACATTTCCGTGGACATAACATAACTATATATGTATCAATAGGTAGGTACCTAACCTACCTATTATATACCTATATTATGATAAAAGTTGCCATTTTATTTAAAAGAATATTAATGCACTGGTTATACACAGAATATGACCATTAAATATTTGACAGTCACTATTATGACGATGACATAGTAATTTATATGATGTGAGAGTACCTATGGTTGTTACCAATGGTTTGACTATATGATGAGTCTTTTGAACCTTTTTATATACTTGCGCCCTGCAATTACCTGTAGTTTTAAAAAAGAATGACTAAAACTCACATCTTTTTTTTAATATTATCTCATGTATCTTAGTTATAAACTATCTCTTTCACATTTAAACTAGAACAAATTTATTTAATAGCAGAGTAGATAAAAAAATGGATATCAGTAATTTTCAAGTAAAAAATTAAAAAGTGTATCATAGTGTCCAATCAAATAACCATAATATGAACATTTTTTACATTACCTTTTTTTTTGATATTATTGATTTTAATTTGATCTACTTATAAATAATTTAAACTAATAATAATAATTATAATTATAATAACTTAATAATAATGTCATTACTGGATAAGACTGCTAATACATAAATTAAATCTATTATTATTTATCAGAGCTTGATTGAAAAGTAAACAAAAAAATAATAATAGAATAGAATTTTGTAAAAAAATCTGTCAAAATGTAGGTATGTTTACAAAAAAAAAACAATCAAATTATCAAACGATTTTAGTGATGATGCAATTTACCGTCGTCCGACATCGTTGTAATCCCTATTAAGAAATATAACCTTGAAACTAAGTACAAAATGTTATTATTGTTATTGTTGTTTTTTTTAACTACTTGTTATTTGTCCTCGTCAAAGAAATAAGTCTTTGACAATAAATTATAATATAAATCATAAATTATTATAGGTAAAATGTGTACCTACATAATAATATAACTCATAATATGATAGTTATTTTAAAATATGAAATATGTTTCAATTTTTACCAGGTGATATTTATTAACTACGTTCGTGATTCAGTAAATTTAAATAATACAACCTATCGTCTTTTGAAGCCAATCGTTTTAAAAGTTCAGTTGGATGGACCAAGAGAATTATACAAGTTACGTTTTATAAACGTGAGTGTTTTTATTTTTATTATTATTTTCTATTAAGTGACGATCATGAGAACTAACAATTGATAGCTATGTGTCACTGTTATTTTAGTAAGATAATTAAAAACAATTAAAATTTATATCTTAATAATACATTGTATCTGTATTCCTTACTGTCTGAACTTTAAAGCAAATTAGGTACGTCATATTATTATTCCTAAATTTACGTGGATCTTCGTAAGACGTAAGTCGTTGCATAAATTACGTGAATAAGTATTTTCCCTAAACACTAAACCAGAAATTATCAATTAATATTTTTGAAGGGCCGAATTTGGAATATAGTAAAGGCAAAAATCCAAGAAACTAATGAATACAATATATATTGTGATTTCACCATAAAAAATAATTATTTCTTATCATCTGCTTAAGTGACCTACAATATAGATACTGCTTAACTAGAGTGCATTGAATATACACATTTTAGTTATTTATATTACACGCAATTATTATGTGTTTATAATTTTTTATTTTTCAAGTACGTAAATGGTGGGCCGACAGAAGAAGTGATCAGTAAAGCGACCAGGAATAATTACTTAGGATGTAATTCTGGAAATTTTATCCCCACGTGTGGTATACAGTATTATAACTTAAATGAGCCGGTGCCTTTTTCGGAAGCAAGTAAACTAATTTTTGAAGTTAACAAAATAATAACCATAAATTCTTCCTGTTCACAAAGGGTTTTTGTTGTTCGTGTCTCGATTCGGTCAATGTTGCTCGTCAACAAAGATCATCAGAGGTACTGAACAGAAATAACATTTCAATAACAACCCACACTGATGTCGTTGTTCAACCGAGGGGCGAGCAAGATTGTACGAGCATCAGTAGAAGTCCCGAATACGCAAATTCATTTACTTACCACGAAAGTGCGCATTGTTTTAGATATAGCGATTTATGGTAATACCTATGTCCTAAATGTAAAAACTTAAAGTGATATTATTTAAAATTCTAAGCGGAGTGATGCATGTATAATGTATATACAATATATATATTAGCAAAATGCTAAGATCTTCAATTTTGAGGGTGACTTCTCGTGGAAATTAGATCTAGTTGATACTTTTAAGAAGTCAAAATTGAAAATTCCCGGAACTTTTCATAATAATCTGGAAATACAGTAAAAGCAAAACTGGAATATTTCCCAAAATCAGTTGTCAACAAAACCAATTAGTTAGGTAGATATTTTATTTTGTTGTAACTTGTAATTCAAAAACCATCTACCTTAGATAGTACTTGAAATTTTCACCGAATCTTTGTGCAGCATTTCATATACATAGTATTAATTTGATTCTTTTTAAACTATTTATAAACATTTTAAATTTTCCTTTTTTTTTCCTATAAATGTCGATAAAAAAAGTACTCGGTTAAAAAGCTTGAAATTGTACCTAATATACAAGTCTCTCGTACGTTTTCATTATATCTTATTAAAAATATATAGGCAGGTTCTTTTTAAAAGACATTTCAAACACAAATGTGGACGAAATTAAGTATTCAAAAAAAATAATGATTTTAATTTAAAAATTTCTTATTCTAAAATAATTTAAGTGAAAAAACTGTTGCTTCTGCAAGCTATACGATACAGGCTAAATTATTTTTGTTATAGTCAATCACTTTTAAATAAATCCATAATATTTTTAGTTGATTATACATTTTGTTCATCTCTGATTATACAGTTAAAACGAAGCGATGATTGTTTTGGTTTTATATAGTTTTTTTTTTTTATTTATCATTGAATTCGAATTTAATACATCCATTACAGTGTCTACAGTCTACTCAATTACGATTTGCGAGGTGCACTAGACACCTACTCTGTGCCAGATCTTGAAATCTGGGGGCCCCTGTGCAAAAGATAATTTTTTTTTGGCCTCTTAAAAAAACGCCATCATAAGGTACTTACTTATTTTACTTTTTGTCACTTGTTTTAATTAAAAAACAAATTTATTGTGAATTACAATATACAATGTACATACAATTTAAAATAAATCTTTAGCCGTTCAAATAGTTTTAAATTATAATAGAATATCTGCTTAATTATGAAACATGTATATCCATAATATCGGGATCTCTTACTATTACAGAGCGACGGGGCTCCAGTAGTCCAGTGCGCCAGTAGTTTACCACTGCACCTACTTGACTTCCCCGATTTTATTGAATAGAGCTCAATATAAATTATAATGCAACATTCACATCTAAAATTAGTAGAATTTACAATACCTTCATTAAAATACACAACAAAACATGCATTTTTCGTATATTATTAAAATGTGCAAAAATATGCATTGCACATATAAAAAATGAAATTAAAAAATGGCCATTTATACCAATATGAGGCTATTTGTAGTTATTAATGAACTATTTTTAAACGGCATTTCAAAAATAATCTACTAGTGATATACGTTTTTCGCTAATTAACTATTACACCAAAGAACACAAAATCAATAAAAATGATAATTGCAACACACACAACTGTAGGGGAAGGGGGCACCAACCACCGATCATTAATATAGCAATATTATTACAGCTATCAGGCAATATTTATATTTTATCATAACTGATGCAGGTTCAATGTTTATAAAGTAGAGAAATTGGAAACGGTCTTACCACTGACACTGGAATTATTCAAAAAAAGCGAAAGTAGCGTTTACGTGCTCCACCAACAATGTTTTTCGTCATCGTAAAAACAAATATAATTTAATTAATAAGTATATAAAAAAGTTTATGTATGTATATATATTTCTACAGATCATCCAACAACAAACTGACAATTTTCAAGGATTTAGTATCGTACCGGGCTGAGGTCAAAGGTTTAAATGAAACAGTCGATAACGACCTAATGGCCATGTTTGTTCTGATACCTCAGGATGTGCCCAAAAAGTATCAAAATGGGCTCCCACACTTAAAAGGTACCTATGCTGTAAAAGAATACAGAAGTACGCACTACAGTATTGCATAGATATTAGCTACTATAGTAATATAATAATGTCAACTAATTACGTTGGTCAACTGTAGTCTGTAACTTCGGCACATTTCACTGATTCAATATCATCAGGTTTTATTTTTTATTCATTCATAACACATAATCATATAATAATATGCCTTTTGGTCGGCTTGAAAAACAAGTCGTTATGATGTTTGAATTTATTTGTTGATATCAGTAGAGTATCCAGAATTTTTCTTTGGTTGTGAGAAGGGGTGGCTTAGGGCCAGTTGTACAGTCTGTGATTAAAGTTAATCACAGTTTAACCGGCCGAATTTGGCCGGTTAAATATCTGTTATCAGCTGATTAAGCGTAATCGGAGTTTAATCACAGACTGTACAACTGGCCCTTAGTGTAATTTGTTATGCAAGAAACTCGATTACGTTGCTTCATAAGGTTGGTATGACAAAGCGGTCCTCATCCGGTGGCATTCGAAGAAAATCTCGCTTTGAGAATAAAAAATTAATTATATATTATTATGCAATAAGTGAATGCGTACAGCATGCAAAATCACTTGAATGATTTGAGTATGAAAGTTAACACTACAAAATATAAAGGGCGATATTGACGACCTATTGTTAATTCAAAATCAAAACAACACTGAAATTCTCATTAAAGTATTCAAACTACTTGTCTTATTATCATGAAAAATAATGAAAAAATGATAAAATGTTCACAAAAAATAATCGAGGTTTTACCAAATATATATATATATCTATCTAACTCTCTCCGTCCTTAATATGTTTTATCAATTTTATTGTTATTTACTAGTATAATTTGAAATTGTTTGCAATTTATTCTGAATAAATTACATCAATAACTTAAGTGACGCGCTCTTTTGCAGATCGAGGGGCCGGAAAGTACCTCGCGATCCATCCGAGTAGGATGTCGAAAAACGGAGGTGCCGAATGCGACCGAATTGGAGTGGAACCAATAGGTTTCTACGAGCAACCGGACAGGTGTTATCGGCCTAGGGGCAGCTGTCTCGGCCGACAGCCTGTTCAACTGCTGCAGGAGCGAGAGGGAGACTGCGGCGGGGAACCATTGGCGGGTGCCGGAAGTAGTCGTCTGTTCATCGAAGACTATGTGCAAGGTGACATCAGTTTCGACAACGTCGCCGAGCACATTGTCGTAGACCGTCTGTCGTTCTCGCCCGCGGCCGAAGCCTCTTTGTCCGTGCACAGCGTCGGAGAGATCAGACTGGACGACAACGCCGTCGTCAATGACAAGTATTACCTATATTCATTTTAATGGTTTTTATTGGATGAAGACAATGAAGTGCTTCAGGAGGTACCTATAATCTATATATTATGTTTTCCTTTGAATAGTATAATTTGTTTTACTATGTTTTTTTTTTTGTAAATCTGACTATCTGACCGGCCTCCTGGTAGTACCTATGTATTAAAATTTATAATAAAAAAATGTTTTCGTTATCGGCATGTATGATTTAAAAGTAGTATAATGAGGGATTTTCCATAGTTTTAATTACAAACTAGTTAGGTCCGTAATGTGTAGTTACTGTGTACTGATCTAACTTATAACGTATATATTATCATTCTATGATATTATAAATTTCAACTTTCAACTTTCAACCATATAATATATTGTGATAAGTTATAACACTCTTTTGTTATAATATTTGACATTTCCATAGGATTTTGATTCAGATAAGCGAAATACATGCGATTTTCGGTAAGGACTGTAATAACACAGCAAAATTGCGAGTATTCGTGACGAATTTGGGTCTGGAAACAGCAGAGTTCTTCATCGAAGTTTCTAATCAGTTTGACTTGAAAAAACACAAAAACCAACACAGGCAAGTAATCGTACATCCCCAACAGACCGGAAAGATTAATTTAGAGTTCGAATGCCATGCCAACGACTGTAGCCCAACTGGTGAGCGATATTTATCTTTTTAAATAGGTATTCGTCAGATATATTGCAATGAATTTACATACTACAAACGTCGTATAGTACCACACTTCCACTTGCAAGTCCTATTGAATATCGAAACGACGAACGTGATTTATTTGATTTTATAAGTTATAAGTCATAACATTTTTATGCCATTAATCAAAGGTGCCCACAGAAATAAAACAGGAGGAGGGGTGAAAAATCTCTGATAATAAGCACCTACCATTTTTTGGTGTTTACAAGCACTAAAACAATCAATATCAACGCCCCCCCCCCCTAGGTACTCCACTACTTCTATGAGTGTTCATTATTTGAGTAGTACCTACTCGTAGAGCAAATATTAAGAATAGGAATAAGCCGAAACCTATTTGAATACCATGTTTCAGATAGAAAATCAGATATGTATGCTTTTATGTAAATATGTAATTTTTGGAATTTCAAAAATTTTCATATAAATAAATAATACATAGGAAAATCCACAAAAAACAATCCAATTTAAGTCTTTAGCTTTTTGTTCTAACTGATAAAAAAGTATCAATCCTGTATCATTTCAAACTATCACCAATATTGAAGCTTCGGTTATTTTCCACTTAAGTATATTATATTATATATAATACATTTACACGTTCTGAAACGAGTATGACTGTTTTCCACCAACAATTATATTTCGATTACCGATAGAAAAAATTAATTTACTATTTTAGATATTTTTTGAGAATCTAAATCCATCTGCGAATTGTAAATATTATTTATTAGTTATTTCAATATATATGCGCCTCACCTCATCGTATAGTCTCTAATCTCTATGCCATATCAAGGTCTTTAGTTTAGTGTCTACATAATACATTAAATTGGATTAAATCAAAATTAAACGAATAGTATACAGTACTATAAAAGTATAAATAGTACCTATAGGTACAGTATAAATATTAATTATTACAAACGCCACTAATTTAGCGTCAAAATATTCTAAAATAACATTACATAAAAAATACAAAAATGTTATTAACTACAAGTTTCACTATACGAAAAGAACTATTTTTCTTAAAACCTCCAACACGTGATGCGTTTTTGAGCTGTAGGTATATTCAATTATATTAGGCATTGAAAAAATGTTTGTAAATTAGCATGATACGCCCATGATGTACTCGTTATCACTTCGATATTTTCAAACATTATACAAAAAAACGCAATCAACACAGTTAAATAATTAATTTTAAAAATCAATACGGAATGTTGCACGTATGTAGTCAGGCGTGACTAAATAGATTTCGTCAGCTTCTGCGGTAACCCTCCCGATAACAGGTTCCGACCGCGATGAAATAATATTAACAAAAACAATAATACGGTATAGAAGTTCTCAAAAAATATCTAATATTACGATAAATTTTTTTTTTCTGGAAACCAGAATATAACCTTTGGCAGAAAACGGACATTGTGATAACGGGGAGGGTCACTTTGGCGGAAAACTGAAACTCTTAACTGAAAGTTTAGTGTCAACACTCCCGACCTCGAGTGAGTGCATCAATGTGAGCCGTGACATTTATTCCGGTGTGTCTATTTTCCAGTGCGATTGTACATCGACCACACCTCCGCTGTCTCATTGGCGTCTAGAAAATTCAAGGTCGTTCGTGATTCCAGCTGCTACTGCCTGTGGCACAAACGGTGCAAGTGTTACCAGACTGATTCACAATATTCCACCGGTGACAGATGGTTGAGCCAGGCAGAGTACAAAAGTGCGGGGTTCCTAGGAGACGTGCCACCCAGAGCAGCGGTCACTCAGATGGCCGTCAGAGACTGGGACACGCTGGTCGCCGGTCTGGTATTGATGATCGGGTACCTAGTCTTGGCTCTGACTCTGGGCCTGCTCAAAGCTGTGTCACCATACAGCAGCCACTGGCTATGGATGGTCGGATCCGGTAAGCGACAGATAAACGTGTACAAGGAACCGGAACTCAGACGGCGCCCAATGATCTGGGACGACCATGGTTACTGCGTGCACCCCGTAACCAAGTCCCGAAACATACGGCTGATGGACAGCGGTCAGGAGTTCGTCGCCAACGCGCTGTTCTTTGTCTGCCTGCCGACCACGGTGTGCCGGTGGTTCTACAGCCAGACGAAGGATTACCATTCCTTGACTCAAATCGAGCCTTCATGCTCGTTTCTGGCCGACCAGAAGACCCACGATGATTCATTTCAGCTGCAGGCCAGTGATAGCGATTTGCAGCGGGACACTATCTGTAACAATTCCCAGACTTCAAAGTCCAGTTCGCCGGATTGCAAAGCGCTACTAGATAGCTGACCATACATTAACCTGCTTTCAGTAGTACTTGAAGTCTTGAAGTATGCCCCATTTTAATGTTCTCTACTTTAATGCATTAATGTAAATTATAACAGTACGCAGTGGTCGGCAAGTTCCTTTCGAGCTCCCATATTAGCGTTTCAAAAACTACAGTTGAAAACTTAAAAATGCAAATTATTGCAAAACATTCCCACAGTCACTACCGCCCAAAATCATCGTTGTAAAATATTTTCTAAAACTCAATTTATGAAAGAAAGACACGTTTAAAATCATCGTTAGTACTTTTGGGTCATTATTATATTTTACCGGCCTTCACCGAATAAAGCCGTAGTGAATTTAATTCTTTAAGTAATTGTCCTACTTTGTTATATGAATAATAAAATAACGATTTTGTACCTAATATTATGTGTACATCATTAAATGAGTATTTTATGGGGCAAAGTCCCTAATTCACCAGGCCAATTATTGTTAAAAAAAATTAAGTACTTTTTTATTGAATACTTACCTAGTGATTACCTATATATCATAAATATACAAAAATAATAATAATACAAAAGTACAAAAAAAAATAATTCAGAGAACGTATTTGAATATTTTTTTCAAAAAGTATTGAAATAGTATAAGAATAAAGAAAAGTTCCTATTTGAATACATGTATTCGTCATTCGAGTACTTTACAAGACTATTAATTACCTATACGGCTATACATAATTTTTGTACTTTATTATGTATAGTATATATATATCTACCTTTATATATATAAACCTATGAATAAGTGAAACAGGAATCCATACAAAGTACTAAGTAGGTATCTATATCTAATGTCTAAGTAAGTGTATCAATATTGTAATCAGAATGAAAAAATAATTAAGTACTGATCGCCTGAATGTAAAAGTATCGATTAATACCTTATTCAATTATAAATACAAGCTTAAAAAGGGTGTGAGGGTACACCCTGCTGGCCTGCTACACCCCCCCCCCTAAATGGCTCCCCAGTCATAAAGAATAATTAGAAAAAAAAATTTTAATACCTAATTAAATTATTGTGTGATGTGTGCAACTTTTACTTAATTACATGATAGATAGACAATATCGAACGAAACAATATATCATAGCCCATAGGATAAAAGAGCAGTAACTATTTTTCATATATTGTAGCGAAGAGGAGGAATGAAAAATATAGAGGTAGTGACTATGGGTCTCTTCTTGTGTCATACACTCATACCTCTTCATTGCGAGACGTATAAAGAAGAAAAGCCATTGGTGAAAATCACAGAGGTGCTAAGGATGCCCAACAACCTAAATGTCAATGCTAGCACCCCAAATCTGATGATTATCATTTATCTTAATAATAACTAAACATTTTAAAGACGTGTCACTGTCATGGCTCAAACTCAAGATAGGCTATTGGACATATCTATCCAGTGGTCGAAGTGGGGGGGGGATACGGGGGGATACGGAGGGATGACATCACTCTACTTTTTTGTATTTTCATTTTTCATCCCTCTACTTATTTTGTTTAAAATAACGCATTCCTCTTAAAACTTGTGTTTTAAAATGAAATAATTATTATGATTTTTATATTTATATCTATGTATAAGAAAACTTTTTATTTTTCGTATAGGCCTAAATCTGAATTGTAAGGCACCCCTCCACTTATCTTGAGCCATTTCGACCACTGTATCTATCCATATAGATAGAGATAGGTATCGATGGGTAGTCCTTTACAAATGTCCACACTTCCCTGTAATTACGTATTTCTAGTATAATTACAGTAAAATTTCCATATTATGACGAACTTTCAACTAAACAAAATGTTTAACTAAATATTTTTAAGAACCAAATGTATTTTATTTTACGAAATTCTCTACAATACGATTTTTTGTGTTTCCCATGAGGTCATGAAACTTTGAAATATGGACATAGCACTGTGCTAGTGCCACTGTACATATTATTTAACTTAATAAATCATAATTTGATTTACATACATTTTTATAATTATGGCTGAGTTTAATGCAGTGAAAAACCTTAGAAGATGCATTTAAAATCTCACTGTTCATAATATATCCCCTGGGAAACTAATTCAATATATAAACAATAACATAGGTATTAATTTGGAGAAAAAGAACTTTTGTGCCCCTTAAAAATCTCTACGGTTGATAATTATATAAATAACAATATATATTTTTTAAGTAATATTGTAAACTATTTAATCAAGAATGTCGATGTTAGCAGTACCGCAACTATCTGTTGGGGTCTTAGAAAGAAAGACAAGTACCCCGATCAGGTCATACCGATTGGGTTTGACTTTTTTTTTTTTTATTTGAAATAAACAATCTGTATAATTTGCACAATAAGCTTATATGATATAAGTACATGATACGTGACAGGCGTGATTTAATCATCCACCCATTAGTGACTCTTGACTAATTGATTAATTATTTTAATTAATTTTTATTATAATTACATAATTTATATTTTTTTTTTTGGGGGGGGGAGACGTTAGACATTAAAGTTTTGTAATAGGTCGCGGCACCACTTCCTTTTCAGTCTGCGGTTAGGATTTCCAGGTAATGTAAGGATAGAAAGATCGTTTATGAGAGGGTTAGGGTGTGAATGGAGTCGTTTGTGAAAACGAGTGTAAAAAATGCGTGCTTCCTCAACTATTGTTCTCATATGGAGATCGTTATGCAGAGTATAGTTAGAAATATAGGGTGGAGCATTAGCTTTGACTTTAAATAATATATTTTATCATATATTACAATTTAATCTCTAAATCCATTTGAACAAACCAAGACGAAATGTCATCAGTGGGTGGCTTCTTTCTTCAAATGTATGTAAAATGATGTTTAATTGTCGATATTTCCCTTATCGCACATATACTTATTATGTCTTAGATATAGATTGTATATTTTCTTCTAAAAATAAAAAAAAATCTATTTGTTCTGGGCCATCTGCCTACCTCACCAGTTATTACAAAATTATATTTTGAGTTTTTCTAAGACACTATTTATAATTAAGCTTTGATCTCCCAATAGATATCTAGTTGTGGCACTGGGTGGAAGCAAGTGTAGATGACCATCAGCAAATCCCGAATTCACACACAACTAAATTGAATACCTAATATTTTACATTATATTGTTGTATACTTTTGCATAATTAAATACAATTACAATGAATACATTTCAAAATGTGTAAGAAAATAAATTATAACTTTCATTCAATATAAAGTAGCATGACACCCATAACTACACATGAATTGGGAAAAGTCAAGACTTAAGTTTTTAGGTGATTTTTATGTAATTAACTAAGTTCTCAAGTCCCCTTAAAACAACAAAAAAAAGTTGCAAATAATATTTTAGTCTACTACTTAACATTTATAACCTATTTCAAGTCAAGAAGCAGTACCTACTATTAATTATGGTAACCATAAATTAATTGTTTCGTAATTATCTTGTTAAAATATTATCTTAATATTTTGGTGAATTTAACCATAGCATCACTTAATTAAATAATAACTGAAAGGATTGAAAAAAATATATCAATACAATGAAATACAAATAATATTCATGTGCTTGAAAATAGTTTTAAATTTTAATCTCATAAAGCTATATTGTTCAATTATAATAATTCAAAATAAAAAAGCAGTGTTTTTTAGTATGAGGGAAATGTATCATGGAATGAAAAAGCATTAAGTATAAAAAAATAATGGATTAATATACAGAATTTTTTTTAAAATAAAAAGTAACAAAAAATGACATTTTAAAGCTAATTGTTTAAAAAAAGTCTAGTTTTCATCAACTTCTTGTTCTTGTTCTTCATCAAATTCAGCTTCCTCATCAGCGGTAGCTTCTTGGTATTGTTGGTATTCAGATACTAAATCATTCATGTTGGATTCGGCTTCAGTGAATTCCATCTCATCCATACCTTCACCAGTATACCAATGCAAGAAAGCCTTACGCCTGAACATAGCAGTGAATTGTTCACTGATTCTCTTGAACAACTCTTGGATAGCTGTAGAGTTACCAATAAATGTAGCAGACATTTTAAGACCTCTTGGAGGAATATCACACACTGCAGTTTTAACATTGTTGGGAATCCATTCAACGAAGTAGCTCGAATTTTTGTTCTGAATATTTAACATTTGTTCATCAACTTCTTTCATGGACATACGGCCACGGAATACAGCTGCTACTGTTAGATAACGTCCATGTCTTGGGTCACATGCTGCCATCATGTTTTTGGCATCAAACATTTGTTGGGTAAGTTCGGGAACGGTTAGTGCCCTGTATTGTTGGCTTCCACGAGAAGTAAGAGGAGCGAAACCAGGCATGAAGAAATGTAACCTGGGGAAAGGAACCATGTTGACGGCGAGTTTACGGAGATCAGCATTCAATTGACCAGGGAACCTGAGACAAGTGGTCACTCCAGACATAGTCAAAGAGACTAAGTGGTTTAAGTCACCGTATGTTGGTGTTGTAAGTTTTAATGTACGGAAGCAAATGTCATACAAGGCTTCGTTGTCAATACAGTAGGTTTCATCAGTATTTTCTACCAATTGGTGAACTGAAAGGGTAGCATTGTAGGGTTCTACAACAGTATCTGACACTTTTGGAGAGGGTACAACAGAATATGTGTTCATTATTCTGTCTGGGTATTCTTCACGGATTTTGGAGATCAATAAGGTTCCCATACCAGAACCAGTACCACCACCCAAGGAATGTGTCAATTGGAAACCTTGAAGACAATCACAGCTCTCAGCTTCTTTCCTAGAAGAAAAAAAACAATTAAAATAATGGTTACAATATTATCATTATTCAATTTTTTGTGTAATGTAAAAACAAAATTACAAAATTCATCAAAATATAATATGAATTTTCATCTTGCACCAGCAGCATTACAAATAAAAAATAAATTATTGTGTAAATAATACAATTAGATCGTAATAATTACGATTAAATATTGATGGTTGAGAAACAATCCAAATTTTTTTATAAAAAAGCAATGTTTCAATTTATCCATAATAACTGTACTCTACATATTAAAAATATTTCAAAAAAGTAAAAAGGTCCCCCCCCCCTATCATTACAATTTAAAAGTGTAAAATCAAATTGTGTTTAAATAATTGTTTATTTTAATACTCTGCATAGTATTCCACATTATTAATAATACAACTTACCTGACAACATCTAATACTGAATCTACAAGCTCAGCACCCTCTGTGTAATGACCTTTAGCCCAATTGTTTCCAGCACCTGACTGTCCGAAGACAAAGTTGTCTGGTCTGAAAATTTGACCAAAAGGTCCAGATCTGACAGAGTCCATGGTACCAGGTTCCAAATCAACCAAAATGGCACGAGGTACATACTTTCCACCTTAAATTATTTTCATATATTAGTTAAT